ATCTCTGATGGAAATGACCTTTTGAGCTTCTTCCCTATTCTCATTTAAGCGATGCGATACAACATCAATCTCTGACAAGTGTTAGCACCAATAGCTGTTAGACAAAAAATTGATTTGATGGAAGAACTGTGCTATAGACCAGAAAGGAGAACTACTCAGTGCTAATTGTTTCCTATCCTCAATTTATAAAACCTTTAAGATCTGCCTCAACCATCCTCTTAAGACCGTTAACCTCTCTAGTGATTTGAATTTTGTTAGTTCAAGCACACATTTTACTAACCTCACTTTGCATCTTTTGAGCCTCCTTTGAAACTTGATACATTGGTGTATCCACAAACTCCAGCATTGATCTGCCTTTAGATTTTTCATAATTCTCCTTGTATTTGACCTAGGAAAACAAAAATAAATACTGTTAACAGCTGAGAGTATGTCAGATCTGATCATTGCTATGGCTTTTAAAAAAAGCTGTTTTAGCCAAATTCCTTAGAGGTTTAAGCTTAGAAGATTTCTCCCAAGTTTAACCTGTGGGAGAAACAGGGCAGCTACGCCAGAAAAATTCTTTCTTCAGTGCTTTGCTTCAGTGCGGCAGACCTAATATGACAAACTTTGAGGGAGTTCACCCAGGAGTGAGAAACATCAACCATGACCCTTAAACTAAATGCATGATCTGCTTTTCAGGCTTCATAGCACTCATCTGAAACACACTCTTATTTGTATCTGTGGAAAGAGAAAGGAAAGAGAAAGTTGGCTCTGGACCTACTCCATTGGGTCTGAACCTCCTCCTGACTCACAGATAGGACCCTAAAACTAGCAACAAAATCACACTGAAGCAGAGAGATTCAAGACACTAACATAACTCTTTATGCTAACCCGCAAAGCAAAACCACCCTGTCTGGAAGCATTTAAACTCATTCATTCATGGCCTTTTGATTAAGCTACTATGTGACCATGGGCAAACATATTATTTATCCTCATCAATCAAAGAGCAATATAGTGGAATATTCTACATGAGCCATAAAAAAAAAAAAGCTACAAATCGAAACATGACATTCAGAGTGAGAGATGTCATTTTAATTTATTTGCCTCTTCAGAAACCCTGATGCCTGAATTTGAGAAATGTGTGAAGAATCTCTTTTATTGCCAAGCTTCTGCACTGGATTCTGATCCTGCAAAAACACTCTTCTCTCTCCTCCTGGGGTGCTTCTAATTGAATATGCATTGCACATCACAGTAATTTATCATGTAATTTTGTGCCTGATTTAATCACTGCAAGAACACTGCATTTTTCTCATTGCGAGATTTATTTATGATTGTGTATACCTGACTATGAAGCACCACATTTCTTTGTGATGCATTTGTTCAGCTGTATCCAGGATGAAATGATGGAAGCCCTTGCTTTGCTTAAATGATTTCTTATGTTCATATTGAAACCAAAAATATCCAAGAATTTTTTCACAAACAAAATCCAGAAGATTTGCAATTTAAATACCATTTAAAACAACTATAGGAGAAACAGCATAAAATAAAGAATGTCTTAGTTCCACACTTCAGGAGTTCCAATGCTAAATTTGAATTTAAAATACCTCCATTTTCTTGAAGAAAAAAAAAAAGTATAATGTGATTTTTAAAAAAAAGGATATGATAAAAATATTATAAATTCCAAGAGAAAGCACTTCTCCTCTTTATGGAAAATTCAAATGTTTATTTTCTGAAAAAAGAATATATGTATATATTCTTTATTTTTTACATTTGGTGTATATAGGAACAGATGTGATGGTCTCTGTTTGCCTCCTAGTGGAAGTAATTATAAATGTCACCAACAAAACAGCTTCTGCAGTGGAATTAAAATAAACTTGCCTCCATTTACAGATATTGTCTTCACATTTTTACTCCATTGTTTAATTAATTGAATTTTAAAAATTAAAAATGTAAAATGAAATGAGGGAGATTTCACAGATTTTTACTAGTCTAAACTTCAGCATCAGATGTGGTTTCTAAAGTCTTATTTATTTACATGGTTTCATAAAATCAAATACATCTATTTTCCTGTTTTTTTTGGTTTTTGTTTTTGGTTTTGGTTTTTTTTGGGGGGGTAGCTTGAAATCCATTAGAGTCTCAAGAGCATCCACAACAGCAAAAGATTTAAAAGCTGCAAAGGGATGCAACTCAAAGAGATGATTAAGGAAGGGCCGAATCTGAATAAAGAAAAAAAAAAAAAAAAAAAAGACAAATTGATTAATTCCACTCTGAGGACAGTCATTTAACCAGCAATAAAAAATGCATGCTCTTATGTTATTGAAGGAAGCTACAACTAGACCAGACAAAATACAGTGTCCATAGGCGGCACTGACTCAGAATAAGCTGCAGACCACTTACCAGGGCTCATGACTTCTGCTGACAGCACCCAGCCTTCCTTCCTACCACCACCACCCCCTCACATGTTTCCACAGCAGTGCTACAGCCTTTCTCCAGGTGTTGGAGTCAAAAAGCCAAATGTATCTGGCAAATGCAGCTGAGCAGCCTACTAACACTAAGCATGTAGCAGAAAAGCTTCAATGTTGCACAGAAGCCAAGGGTGGGTGGTCCCACATCTTCCTCCCCTCAGGTTGCAATCCTACCACCTCTTACTCCTGGGACCCTCGAGGCACATCTCCTGTTACGTGATAGGAAGAAGGCTGTGCCTATAACCTGATCCAGTGTGGGAAACAACACATTTAGAGGGAAAGAAAAGTCTTAGACAAGGATGGTCTGCAAAAAAAGTGCTTGAAAGGCTGTTTATGCAAGAGCTCCAAATGTAAAGCGGGCATAATGGTCACTTCAGTGAAGTGCTTGGAGTCCTGCAGATGAAAGGCAATATAAAAGACCTTAAGTAAAACAAGATATGCAAGGTAAGTAGTAGATGGGGTCAACTAAGAAAAAACAGGCAGGTTTGCAGAAATTTAAGAAGAAATACTCATGTACCAGAAGTCTAAGTGGTTCTTCCCCATACTAGTCATTTTAATAAAAGAATTCGTTTTCTCTAAAAGCCATTTCTTCACTGAGACCAGGGAGCAAGTATCAAAAATTCATGTCTTCTACAGTAACTATCTGCATTTCTTACTACAGATAGCTTTCAGACTAGCCAAAGATATTCATTATAAGGGCAACTTACATCACTACGCATTTTGCTGATATTTAAGGCGTGGTTTAAGTGGAGCAGATTTGGTAGCTCGGAGGATGGATCATGTAGGCTTTCCAAATCCTTCTTGTAATTCACCTGGAATGATAACTCAGATTAGATAAAATAAAGATGTATAAAATAACTCAGTTTTTACTACCGTGTGTAGTTCCAGAAATGTGAAGTGCCTACCTGAATAATCTGCATTAGCCACAAGATGGTGCTCGTTTACCATTATTTGGGGGGAAAAAAAATCGGTATAGGATATTTTTCTCTTATTTGGTAGCTACTCAAACCCTTCCTCAAAAAGAGCACTTACAACAACAAAAATCATACTTTATATGACTTTTCAGATTTAAAAGAAACTATGAGCATAATATTATTTCTATTATTTTCTATTTCCAAATATTTTTTCCTGTTAGCCTACAGTAGAATTCTTCCATACTTTTGATAGGTGAATCTTTACCAAAAATAAAAAAAATCACCGTCCAGCTCCCCTGCAACATGTGAAATGTGTACTTATCCTCGATGATAAACCTTTCACACCAATGCATTTAGTCCCCTTCGATCTTGTTTCATGCTATGCACCAATTCAGGTGAATTTCAAATCAACATTTTTAATTTACATATTTTTAATAAAATAATGCCTACTTGAACTATTTTTTTCAAACCTAGGATTTTTTTTTTAAATTAAATGTTCGGATTTGGGAACCAATTCATATTCTGTTGGATCCTTCCCAAGGCTGACCCTTTTCCCTCTGAGTGTAACCCCACACTCCAGAAGTGGAGACCTACACAAGCATCATCACCAGGGTATCTGGAATCACTGTCTCAAAGAAGAGCTCAGACGTTTAGTATTTCATACACCATTAAATATTTCATGCTAACAAGTAACTCACACAATATAGAAGTTTTGCTCAATCTTACTGCCGCAGCAGGAACCCACACTGGACCAGGTAACTCCAGTACTTTGTAATATCATACTGAAAATCAGCAGGCAAAAGGAAGTCTAAAAGACAGCTACACAAAACTGAGACTCTCACCTTAACCTCCTCCTACAACCACAACAGAGAAATGGGCACTTTGCTCACTTGAAGACAGGCGAGAAGGATAGATCATAGGAATTGCCTTCTAGACTTTATTTTTTTCCCTGAATACCAGGGGAACGAGTATTAGGTGACTAGCTCAGAGTAAGCTGCTATACCTTTTGACACAAAGTTAAGTGAGATGAATCTCATGTAAAAAGGTCGTGAAAAATGCTGCAGGCCCTTGGAGAAGACCTTTATCAGAAGTGGTGAAAGTGGATAACATATTGTACATGCTATACAGACTCAGTATACTACAGAGACTGATACTCTCAGTAATCCCTAAAATGTACAAAATATTTCTGCTCGAGAACAAATGTTAGGTTTCTCTGGATGCAAATATGTGTAAAACACAAAGCAAATTCACTTACATCACTTGCCAAGGTGGATGCAATCTGTGCTTGCTTGAAGGAAACACTGTCAAGAGGATTGTACTGGTGGTTCTTCATTTCCTTGCTGAACTGCTCTTTGTATTTCACCTTCCACCAGAACAAACAGATTTGATGTTAACATGTAGTACTAGAAGGAGGCGAACAGAATTCAGACTACAAAGGAGCAATTAAAAGCAATTGCTTTATCCACAAATTCTTGAACACTGATGTTTAAAGAAGCTCAGTTAGCCACATCTGTGACTGTCCTGTGCTGGTTTCAAAGTAATTTTCACATAACCGAATTTTACTGAATAGAAATATTTTTAAGATTGTTATGTGCAATCATTGGTGCTGAAGGATTTATACAAGGAAACAGAAACAAAACCATATGACTCACCTGAGTAATCATCACAAACCAATACTGAGAATCATTCTATTAGTAATTAATGTCAAAATGTGTTTTTAACAACATCAACAACAAAAAAAAAGATAACACTTGTAAAATATATCGTTTGTTGTAAATTTTTCAATCACTTATGGAGTCCCAGTCCACTGGTTTCCCAATGCTAGGGCAACTGTGGGGTGCAAAGCTGTCACCAGAGCTGCAGCCCTTTTCCTAACGGTGCCACAAATTTCCCATGAGATCTCTGGGAATCTCTCTGTAGCAGTTCCTTCTTAGGGACAATGGCCACCTCATTACAGCACTGGAAAGCATAACTAAAAGCCTGTATGCTATCACTCTCACTGTCTTTTCTTTTTGTTTAAAAAAAAAGTTGGGTAAGATGCGCAAGGATAGGCAAGCAATATTTGTGCAGTGACAATAGAAGCAGATGAACCACAAAAAATCCATAAAACACGCTCAGAAACTGAATTGAGAATCTGTAAAGATGAAACTGAGAAAATAGTAAATCTCCTTCCTTCACCTTCCTTTACTGTGCATGATCATCAAACATCTGGAGACTTTGCACACATGCTGTGCTGCTTTCCAACAGCTGGGTATAAAGGAGGAGAATAAAGTTCAGTCTGAATTATGCTGCTTTCATGAATGTTAGTCAGACACCTGATATCTGAGCCTATGCAACATCCATTATAATTCGCTACGCTCTGCACTAAATAAATATGCAGCTTTTTTTTTCCTTATTCCTTTTTTCTCTACTCCCACATGTATGCCTGATAAAGTGGTTAGACCACCTCAAACACTCTGCTTCAAAAATTATTTTTTTTTCTCAGCTTTATTTGTGGGAAGACTTTTCCTTTCACTTTTTAGTTCCTCCTCACTACAAAAGATTCTCAATGTGGTTCAGCTTACAAAACCTCATTATACTTAGCCACAACGCACAATATTTCATTAATCAGGATAATAAGAATCCCAAAAATAGGCCACCCAAAGAGAAACTAACGGTATATGTTCAAGAACAACATTAGAATTCCACCACTTGCATTATAACTTTGAAAAAGAAACTTCTGCAAGAATATGATGAACTACCTAATCTTTTAGAACAACTCTAAAAAAGAGTACCTGGTAAATTCATCTGGTTCATATTCTTTGATATTTGCCTTGGCTTTGGATCACTTGCAAATGCATAGATCTGAATACAAAGACACTGCCTTTGTCAAGGGCAAATCCACATTCTGTATCAGCAAAGGAATAACTTAAGAGGGCTTTTCTCTTTTAAAAGGTGTGTCCAGAACTTGTCTTCTAACAAAAATCAGACCATGTTGGAATTTCCGATTCAGAATGGCTCCAAAAAGAAGGATCCAACCAACATGGTGAGTAAAATTGTCTTATGACTCCTTGGGCCCCAGAACACACCACAAGGACATTGCACACCGGCTGAAATAGCCAGTGAATCAAGGCCTGGTCAACGAATGGCCTCAAACTGTGTGCATGGACTAGATGCACAATGTGGTCCTTGATACTCTTGTTAAGTGTGAAAACGTCAGTGCCAAAGGGACCTCTCTTCATGATTGGCTTGTCATCTTCCGGCTGCAGCTATTTCATGCCACTTCTTTTTCCAATGATTTTTTTTTTTTTTTACCAACACATTTCAATCCAGAGACCTCAGCAATAAATCCTAGTTAGCGTCACTTTGGATCACATCACTGCTGCAGAAGGTAAGAGTGGGAGTCAGGGAATCCAGGCTTCAAGGGACAGTGTATCCTGATGCTGAAGTGCAGAAGGCTCCCTAATTTAAGGAAACTGCCCAGCGGTGCCAGTGTAAAGGCTCCTGTTTGAGCAAGGCACCTCTCACTCCCTCCGGGCATGCAGCCTCACAAGCCCACACCACTGTTACCTCAGCTCCTGCACCAGCCTCAACACGAGTTGCTTTGGGGCAAACCAGAGACAGCTTGGTAATATCAGATGACCCTGGCAGTATCTCAAGAGCACTTGCAGCAGTAATTTAACCCCAACGTGTCATAGAGGATTCATCTCATTGAAAGCTCTATGTACATTTACTTTCATTTTTATCTGCATTTTCCTATTTTCCTTTTGAAAGAAAGTGCAGGGTGGTGGGGGCTTGGGAGCAAAGGAATGAGTCACCGAAATGGAAATCACACAAGATCGTAGCTCTCTTGTGAACAGAAGAAAATTATGAATGTTGATTAGAGGACAAATATGCCCAAGGAAAGAGTTCTAATTAAAACAAGCACGGAAAATAACTTCATCAATGATTTTTTAAAACACCTTAAGGGGGGATCTTAGCAACATTGTAACCTGGTGGAACAGCCAGCAAAAATGTGGGAGTAGAAATGACAGCTGGTAGCAAAAGCTTATCTACAAATTTCATCGTTAACCAAAAGTTTGACTCTAATGAGGGCTTAAAATGACGGCTTCATATTTACTTTCTTAATTAAAGTCTTATATCTGTTTATTTTTTTTAGAGTTTGTAGTGAGGGGTTAATTTAAAAGAAATGTGCGGACACGGTGCTCCGACTGCTGCTGCAGCCTGTGCGAGCTCTTAACACAACAAGATCCCTGGAAAACCAAAATGGTATTAAAAAAAGCCTGGATAAACAAACTTCTCATTGGCCTTGCCCAAAACCTATAAAAGTCAGAACTGCAGCTGGACAGAACAGTGTCTTTTGAAGCTTTGCAGCAACATTCCTAAATCAAACACGCAGTTCAAAGCCATTCACACAGGGAGTGCTCGGTTTCAGAGGCAGATGACATCACCCACTGTTCAGATTTACAAAGAAGCTACAAAAATTGAAGCATTCAACCACTGGCATCCCAGAATGAAGCAGACACAGCTAAAGCATTTCCTCATGACCATATGAAAAAAAAAATTAAAAAACCTGTCAGACAGCTTAAATAATGAAGGAAACAGAGCATAAACAAAAGCAAAAATTAAAATATTGGTTCCTAAAAACACTACCAGAGTTTAAACAAAGAAAGAGAAAATAGTAGGTTCTTCATGTTGTTATTGATGATCTCACAGAAGGCATATTTTTAAAACAGATTTTACCTCTAACATTCTACCCACAAAACAACAAGCACTAGCCTGATTTAGCATAAAACAAGAAATCCAAAATTATTTACTCTAAAGCCAATTAAACACTATAGGAAAGTACTTAGTATCATCAGCTTTAAGAAATCTAATAAAAATTAAATGAAGACCAAGTAATTTTTTTGATGGAAAATACAAAAATTATCCCCTATTATGCAACTTACCTTCCACAAAATGACACAAAAGCTTCCTTTTTCACAAGGACAAGCAAAGTTCCTGTTTTATTTGTTTTCAGATCAACAGAAAGGGGTTACCTTGTGCTGTGGGTAAATACACTGCTCCTGGGAGCTCTTATTTTTGCTACTGCTGTTGTTAAAAGCTTTCTTAAAAAATAAAATTAAAATAAAATAAAACAAAACAAAATGGAAAGAGACACAGGGACAGAAAAAGAGAGATTTGGTGCACTGACTTGATACAGCCAGTCAAACATTAACACTATTTTCTTCACTTTGTTTGCCTTCCTGCTTGCTTTGATTGCTTTCTCCCTTCGTTACACCCACACTGCCTGACCTCTTCTTGCTCCTGCTCACTATACTCCCTAAATTACCTACCCATATGCACCACATTAAAACATGTTATCATTTTCTCTTCCCATTACATCCATCAGAGTTGTCAACTTTGCAAATTTACTGTGAGGGTCAAATAACTAATATTTCTCTGCATGTCACAGCTTATAGATTCATGCTATTAAGGAAGATTATAAACTTTCAGCACAAAAAAGTTTCTAATGTTTCCATCAACACAAAACAGATACAGAAGGGTAAACCCTAAAATCCAGGACATCTGCAGACAATAAAGAGATCTCTAACTTTACTATTTTTTAATTCTTGTAATCTGTACCATGATGGTTGCATGAGGAGGGTGGACACTGGTGACCCACACTGAGGGCCTTTCCTCATCCACAGCACAGGTGCATGCCCCAGTGCACCCCTTTGGACACAGGGTCATCTCCATTTCTCTGTGTTTGTACAGCATGCTTTTGATTCATGATCAGTGTGCCCAAGTGCCGTAATGACTCAAATAATATATAAAACCATCAGACAGCTCATGGCCACTGGCTCTCTTATCAAAGGAGGTGGGGACAGCTGAATGATTCTCCCTGCACCTGCAAACAGCCAGCAGCCACATCAGCACAGGCAGACAGGAGTAGGAAGGATCACAAAATTCAGATGAGGCCCAGTGGCTACAGAGGTTGAACGAAACAGGATTAATGGGAATCTGATTTACAAATAAACTACACATAAACTACATTTTGTCAACTGTTCTTCTCTTCCTGCCACAGCTTCTGTCCTATTTGGACTCCAGTTACGTGCTAATGAAGTTTAAATTGTGCACCACATGTTCTCTTCTGCAGAACAAATCGGATCGGAACTGCTGCCACCCCAGTCCCTGGCAGTTGAGTGACTCTGTTGCAAAGCTACCAGTTTTGCACATGCTGCATGCATTGTCAAAGAGGAAAAAGATATCTTTAAAAAAAAAAGAGAGATAAAAAGTGCACGGCTGAAGCTTATGATGCAGCTGGCACAGTATCAGACTGCAGGAGCCCATTATCCTGCTGCTATTTTTTGATCATTGTGATTGTTAATCACACCAAAAATTGGTGGTTCCAGGCTTGGTGAGACAGAGAGCAGTTGGAAAGAGATCTGCCCTGGATCTGTTTGTGACTGCAGACAGCTGCAAACTCATCACATTCTGCAACAGGCTGCAAGGAAATGAGTGCATAGTCAGCCACCAGGCAGAAATAGAGCCTGCACTCCATTTAGATACAAACGAGAAGGCATCCTTTAAAAAACACCAGAGGAGGTTTCTAAATGACAGGCATTTTACAACTGACCCTCAGGCTTGAGCCAGGTCTGAGCACTGGCTCTTCCAAGACAGCACAGGTTAACTTGCAAGCATGAATGACGATCAACACAGAAGATCAAGAATCTCTTAGCAGGTTGCCCATCAGCAGAGATACAAGCACATAACCCACTGCAAATCAAGAGAAAGAAATCTACTTGGAAAACAATCTAATTTTGATACTGAAATTCTCATTGACAGAACAACTAAAAGTGTGTGGAGGGAGTGCATCTCTGTGCAGTATTAACACTTCAAAATTAACAATGTTCCAATATGAAAAAGGAGAACATTTTTGCAGCAGATACTTTCAGCTCAATGTTTGATGGCAGCAAAAGTAGATCCACTTCTTAAAAACAGACAGCACTGTTTTGTAGTTTGGTCTCTACAACATGCTCTTCTCATTGTATTTTAGTTCTAATGAAGGTCTTTAGTATCTAGCTCCCAACAAGTTGTAGCAGAACACTGATTTAGAGATTGTTCTAGTCTATACACTCCTGTGCTCAGGTTTTTTCTAGCTCAGGGAAGACTGACAGAGCCCTCTCCAATCAAAGGGAGTTATCCGAGTTATCCCCTTCCTATAGAAGGGAAGCATTTGTTTCTGGGTTTAGAAAAGCTCTAAATGCAGCCAGAGGGTATTACTAGCAAGGGTTATGCAAGGAGCTATTAAAGAACTATTCCAAAAAAAAAAAAAAAAAAACAGGTCAGCAATCAAAAATCCCTTGTTTTGATATAAGGCTGATCCATACTGGCAGAATTGTAAAAAAAAAAAAAAAAAAAAAAAGGGTGAGGGTGGAACTGAATATCAAGTCCCTTATTTTCAGTTGTGAACTAATGTAACACTGCCATTCTTCTTTTTTGGGGTTAATATGTAGCAGAAAGTAGTACATAAAAGGTTCAGTGGCAGGGGGAGGGACGGGGTGGTTTACATGTCAGCCCAAATTCAGATCCCATTACTCACATTAGCAAGCAGCTACACAAAAGACCCCAGTTAGTTCAGTGGGATTAATCAAGGGATAAGGTTCCACTCAAACTGAATGAGTAACAAAATTTGCCTCTAAATTACATACAGTTAATATTTTAGACATCCTAGATAATCTGTATGAATCAAACGGTCACCACCCCCACCAAGGCCAAGTTGTAACAAAGTCCCTTGTATTTCTGCATAAAACCGTATCTATGAAGTATCTTAAATTTACCAATTGTTGCTATTCTATAGGAAATGGGTTTGGGAACATTATCTTCAAGCAATTTAAGATAATAATCTAAAAAGTTAAATCTTTTCTTGCATTACTAGGAATGGGATATCTGAATGAAGTCATTGTAAGAGATGGAGAATCTTACTTGGCTTAAAAGTTTAGAAACTCCTTTCGCATGTTCAAAATCTGGTCTTCCAAGTACAGCAGGCTCCTTACTCATGTCTCCCCTTCCTTTCTTGTACTCAGCCTTAAAAAAAAATCATCACAAATGAACGTGTATTGCTATTAAATTGTTTACTTTTGTTTTATCATAGAAAATGTAAGCATTAAAACTAACAGAAAAGAAAGTATCATTTAGTGACCTGCATTGACACTGCTCTCACTAATGTCCTAATCAGCTCTGAAAAAGACCTTCTCAGGCTTCAGCTCATTAACAACATAATATTTATTTATTCTGAAATACAATACACAGCATTCACAGATTCAACTTTAAACAAATGCATAGCTTAAGCTTGAGAAATTTTGTTCTCCCACAGCTCCCAATCAAGGCCGAATGAGTTACAGGGGCTCGGCATTTCTTAAGACATGGTCTGCAGTTTACACAAGATTATTTGTAACAGCTGAAAATAGTCTTGAAACAAAACTAGGCTGAAAGGCAGCTTTTTTGAAATATAAGGTCAAATTCCACTCTGCTTTGCCATTGCAATATTCCCGGATGTCAATAAGGTTGCACTGGTGTAGCAGAGCAGAATTAGTCCCACAGGGTTGTTGTTATGTGATCTTTCTAGCTGAACTACCTCCCATGCAAATCACTGCACATTTGTTCTATAATCCAACAACATTAAAAAAGAGTACAGATGAATCTACACTAGGTACTTTGCAATATCACAAATGAAATTGCCCACTGCCTAAAAATTAGCAAGGATATATATCGTAACAACAGACCAAGGGGAAAAAAAAGTCCCAAAGCCTCTGCAAGGTAAAGGAAATTAGTAACTCTGGGTGTTGACCACAAGACCTATTAGAAGCTTCTGGTTTTCATAAAATGCTGAGTAACCACAACACGAATCTCAGACCTCTTAGTTTCAGTCTCACCTGAAACTACTAGCCGTTGTCTAAAATCTTGTCTTGCAGCTTTTAATACATACCTTGTTTCACTATCCTACAATAAAACATTAAACTGCACCACACTTTACTGCTTCTCAGATTGCTCCTTGACCTATCCATTAGTAGATGTCACAGGGGGAGGGAAAAGAATCTCAGTGCGGGGCTGAGGCAGGACAGCCCCACGCAAGAGGCGCTCAGGCGGCCAGCAAGGAATCGTATTTCCCTGCTACTGTTGGCCGAGAAAGGGCCAGGAGGAAAGGTGAGGCCTAGGATGCAACCTTCTTTTGTGCAAAGGTGAAAAGAGGCCTGGTACGCCTTTTGAAGAGTAGTATGGCACACCAGCACATGCTGAACCACTTGGAGTATATGGTTATCTTGAACCAAGAGGAAACAAAGCCCAACTTTTCTAAGCTTAACATGGCCTTTAAAACAGTGACTAATAATTTCATATTTTGTATTATTGACATCAGAACAGAAGCAATCCATAATTCTGTAACATGCCAGGTATTATGCTTTTAACTTACACAGCGGATTTGGATTTGCAAGTTTTTTCTTTGTGATATGAAATTTGAGTATTTTAGCAACATTCTACATGGTCTCAGTGTAACTGGAATAAATTTATTAGTAGGCAAAAAAACCATACAGATCAAGTAAAGGAAGAACATAAGAACATACATTGCTTATTATCTTTGTTATCTCAGTTGCTATCCTTATGTCTGGCCTGTTCAGCACTTCAGTGTATCTGTGAATATCTTGCACATCCTTCTTGTATGACACCTGCCAAAAAGAAAACATTTTTATTTAAAAAAAAACAACAAAAAAAGTGACATTGATAAATAATCTTTGAGTTACTTATCAACTCAGCTACCAGATGCAGTAAATTGCCTAATATGGTTTGTTCCCACCCAATCTTGCTTGATAGGGATTGTTTCATAAGATCATAAGATAACACGGGTTATCATAGTAAGAAATTCGTAAGTATAAAAATAAAATGTTAAAATGAAAATCAGTTTTATTTAAATGCATAATAGAACAAGAAATCACTACCAAGACCCAAATACCTGGTTTTGTCATTAAATTTCAGAGGAATTCTAAAGGTACACCATATTTTAAAATATAATGTAAAACTCCACTATGAAACTGAGTACCACCATCCAGCAGATTGCAGCTCCACTGAACAGAAACTGTAACTCTAGCACTGTGAATATCTTTCTCAGTAACACACAACCATGTGGCTGGTGTGTAATTAATGACACCAACAACCTCCTCCTCGCTCCCCACAATTCTACTCATCAGTTAGTTGACACAGCCACAGGAAGAGGGCAGCTGAGTGCTCCAGCACATGGAGTACAAGATTGAATCTTTTTGGGCAGAAGCCACTAATGGAAAACTTTGGCCAGAAGTCTAAGCCTCAGGTAGGAGAGGTCCAAATATTATCCATTTAATAAAGCAATCAGAGAAACAGCAAAAACCTCAGGGATGCTCCAAAGCTCCCAGGCCACAAAATATCCTTTTTCCTCTTAAAAACCTCAAACTTATTCTCTTCCTTACAGTAGCACATATGCCAATCCAAGACAATTTCCAAGTGCTGCCTCACTGAGTTATTCTGAATAATCCACTGAGTTATTCTGAATAATCAAAAAATTTTTTTTTTTTTTTTTTTTTATAAAAGCATCTGAAAAATCGATGCTTTATCCAAAAGTTAGAAAACAGAAAATAAACACCACAGAAAATATCAGCACAATATCTGTTTTACGGGAGAGTCTTTTAGATTTGTTCTACAACTTAACAAGTTACCATACCTCCCAACACTGTAATTCGCCACCACAAATTCCTCAGAGATCCCCTCAGCTTGAAGCTTCCCTTGTTAGAACCTGTGGATCTACCTCCTATTTCCAATGCAACATTTTACTCTTGGTGTCATGTAACAAATTCAATTGCCCCAACTACTCTATAAATATAATTTGTAGAAATGTTTTGGAAAAAAAAGCATGGCAAATATTTTACAGGCAATGGGAAGGTAATTTTGCATCCATATGGCTTCAGCTAAGAAGACAAGCTAAATAGGCTTCACTCTGTTGGCTGCTTGCCAACAAATAAGATCTTATAATTTTAACCTACAATGAATGACATACAAGTATAATCAGGAGTAAAATAAATAAATAGATAAGTTGGAACCATACAGCCCAAACTGTCTCCTACCAATAAAATAAAACCTGCTTCTTATAGCTTGTTAAAACCGCTGGTGTTAAAACCAAGTTTTGTTTTAGTTAGGCTTTGGAGTTTTGTTTTTCTTTTTAAGAAATTAGATGTACAGACAAGCACTTGCAATTCAAGGCTTTACACGGATTTAGTTAATTATATGCTGTTCATCCTAATGACCACATGAGGTGAGGTGAAAACCACAAAGGCAGCAGAAACAGGTTTCTGAATAGCACCCTATCATCCATGTAAATTGCAAATTAAAGGCCAGCATATGTGCTCAAAATAGAAATTAGGAATGGAGTGAATTTAAACAATGGAGAATCAAGAAGATTGGTGATAAAGTTGAGCAAATGTGGTCACTTATTTCTCCCAAATGACACGATCATATAGTACATAGAATAATAGACTGTGGCTAATTTCAGGGGAAGAGAGGGGAAAAACAAGACAGTGACAGTCCTTTATATTTCACCATTTTCAATTATACTAGATGCAAGGCCAATCGCTATAGCTTTCTCTGAGTGAATTATTATTCTTCCTGCGCCTAAACCAGTATACCTATTACTTATGTCTGAGGGAAAGTCATCTAACATTTTACAAATGTCTGCAATATATATTTGCTCCATTCTGCAGCTTGTCATACTCCGGTGAGAATAAAAATGTTATGCAGCAGAACAGTAGTTTGTCAGAGGTAGGCCAAAGAAAGAAAAAATATGTTTCCCATTTCCTGAATAACCTCAATCCCTGGATGCTGACCCTTTCCCATTGGGACAGTGCACTGGCCTCTATTACACAGCTGCTATTCTGTTCCATCTAGAGTTTTTTTTTTTTTTTTTTTTTATGGTGCTATGTTAGAAAAGCAAAATGAAAGCTATTCTGGCTATTCTGTGAAAGAAAGGGAACAGCTGGAGGAGGGACTAAGCCACCAGGCAGGGTGGGCACCCACAGGCATGCAGCAAATGAAAAAACGGGGCATCCACAAAAGAGGAGAAGAGAAAACTTATCCTGCTCAAGAAAAAGAGAAAGCAACAGGAAAGGCAACAGCAGAAATACCCAGGGAAGGGATCATCTTTTCTTCTTTGTTTGTTCAGCCTCTTACCAAGGGACTTAAACCTTGACTTAAGGATCCTGACCTAATGCCTCAAGGCATTACAGAAAGCCCCTACTCAGTCTTAACTTCAAAGGGTTGCTCAGGTTCTACCAAAAATCATCATCATGGGCTCAAGAACTACTCGTTTTCATGAGGACTGCAGACATATGAAACATCTGTTCCAACTGTCTTTCAGAGAAGAAAAAGGAACAGAGATACTGACAACTTAGAGCACCACTGAAAGGCCTAAGTGGAGAATTACAAAAGATCAGGAGGAAATGTGAGGAAGAAAGACACACACACAGGCAAAAACTTGTACCATTTTTAGTTCTGAAGTTGCCAGGCCTAGATTACAAATACTAACTAAAGTGTTGTAAAGTGCACTAAAAAGTGGTTACATTGCTGATTTGTTTTTAAAAGAAACAACCATAAAACTAATGACGATCTAAACAAAAGCTATTTCCCAACTTTAATCCCAATGGTGATTACACAGTTGGACTTGCCAGTAGCTTTTGCAAAGCATGGCAAATCTTCAGGCCTTGCTCATAATTAGTAGACTAATTTTAATAGGGCCAAGCCTCCAGCTGATGAGGCATGAGGTCCACTGAGGATGAATGTGCTGATACATTCCCCCCAACAGAGCCCTGAAGATGCTTCACCTTTCACTACAGTGCCAGTGCACAGGGGTGCAATGCTGCACAGCAAAAAGATTTCTTTTATATCCACAAAACACCTCAGGATCATAAACAAGAAATGGAAACTTCTACTATTTAGTGACTCAATCAGCTTAAAAGATTCAAGCCTTTCCTGCAATCTTTTGTCTCCTTTCTCATTCCAACTCTGAGCCAGAATGAATTGTGAGGGGATGCGCACAAAGCTATGGTGGCAGTTTGCTTTCCTGAGATGGACATGGAGGCTGCTGAGGAGCTAGGTGCAGCTACCAGCAAGAGAATTTGTCTCTGGCTGCTCGTCCCTGATCAGTATTTTCACATGGCAGCAAGTCTGCTCACCATCCATCTGTTAGCTGGGTGGCTGCCCCTTCCCTCTCTGCTTCATTTTGGGGTCCAGCAGCACTTGAGAATGACTAGCTGGTGCGAATCATCAATGGCAACAACCCTTCTGGTTTCCAGCTCAAATGGTGGTGAAAGCTACCTCTCCCGCTCATGTAGAAGAGACAAACACCTTTCTGGCCCATTACAGATTGATGCAGTCAGTCCCGCTAGTAATGGGATTGAAAATTGATTGGTCCCAATTACAACAGGAGTAAACACATCATTTTCAGCACCAGTTGGAAGTAGCCCAGGGGGACCTGCTGTTGACAACCACTGTCAGCAGAAAGTTAGTCAGTGTAAGGTGATTTTTCTAACGCAGACACTAAGCAGAGAGCCAGGAGAAGCAAGGCTTGCTTTAACATGAGCTGCATCCAAACAAACTTGAAAAATTCTAGGATGTTATTGAAGCTGTTTAAGCACACTTAGTTTAAGATCAGCTCATTTGCGCATGGATTGTGATTGCACAAAATTATGAACAGGGAAAAAGCCATACGTCAAAGACAATGCAGACTTCCTAAATAATCAAATTTAGAAAGTCAGTGGGACATTATAAATTGCTGCTACTGATATAACTTGTATTGAAAAAAGCATACATATATAGTAAATGTTTGCTTAATTGTCAAAAACTTTTAAAAGCAGCACTGCTTGGAATATAAGCATAAGAACAAGGGTGCTGACCTCAGATCTGCATACCACCCTTTAGATACTCACAGATGAGTCTTTCCTGGCTTTCTTATATCAGAATAACAATGTGCTTATTTCATACAATATAATGCTGTGAGAAGAAACAGTAATTTTAGCCAAGCAGAATATGTAAACTGCTCTGTAAAGCCTTAACATTATTTTGCTACTCAGGGTGCTCTGTGACAGATCATGGCTTGGAATAAGCAAATCTGGGATCCATACCTTTGAGTATATTAACAGAACACAGTGTGCAGCTTTTACCCTGGGACAATATTTTCCTTTCTTAAAAAAAATATCATCTAGTTCTGCTGTTCATCTACTCTCTTTCTTCAATCTGTTTTGTTCTCAGCTACACATAAGGAAAACCACTATTTCGTGAGACACAATTTTCTTTGGACCACCATCTAATTTTTGACCCAAGTTTAGAAATTCCCAGATGAGATAAAAGACATCAACAAAATGCAGACATAAGGTAGCCTGATAGTTCTTCCTTCACTGTTCTTCAAATGCCTTTGTTGGCAAAGGCCCCTCATGAACATTCCTCTCACAAAATAAAAACACAATTTACAGAGAAAAGTACTCACGTTGGACAAACTCACCTTCATTCTAACCTAATACAGTATTTAAATAATTTTTCAATTCCCTATCATTAAAAAAGTCACTTTGATTCTTTTGAGAGCAATTTCCCTCAGTGGAAGCATGAATAAGGATGTTTTTCTCATACATGATCGCATTGTTCAAGAGATTTTAAAGTATTTCCCTATTATGCAGCTTCAACCCACTCTTATACAGTGTGTTAATGATATTCAAAGTGGTGTGAAGGTCTACAGCACATGACAGTTTCAAAATGTCAGCACCAACGTATTGTAAGCTGAATACAGTCTTAATTTTTGAAGGAAATTGCACTTTTCACACAGTTGAGTATAAATGTCAGCCTTATTTTAAGGCTGAGTAAATAGTCTTAAACACATCCTAATCCTATTAGATGCAAACCCTGCATGTAAAAGGTTGAATTGAGTTGGCAGCCCATTGTAGGTAAACATGCATTCTTCTCCCATAGGTATACTGTACTGAGTGGTGGATAAAAGAGCTTTGTCCTGCTATTCCCTCAGTAGTTTCCCTTTCTACACTGCACCTCTCAAGGCCATGATTCTGCAAATAGTCCAAGATCCAGGAGACAAATATTTCACATTTAGGATCCTTACTATTCTATATTCTGCCTGAAACACAAAAACTCATGTAGTCCTAATTAAACCTTTATTTATAAAACAAGAAATCCATTAAGAAGCATTCAACATGGTGCTCAAGTAATTACCCACAGTATTGGATAACTCCCTTGAACAATAATAGAATATACGTAACTTCCATGTTTACCATGTAAAAACAGTGTATCTGCATCCCATCACAGCTCCCTTTGAATAACTACAAAAATGCAGTTCTTAGAGTGAAACTAACTGGTTTGAGTTTTCTATTGGTTTTGGAAGATTTGTTTGCGTGGTTTTCAAGCTTATCTAGGCTGAGAATACTTCCCTTCATATTTTTTCATTATTTTTAACATGCTGTTAAAAGCTATCTTTCATCAAAACAGCCTCCACCTCTTGTGCTTGTCTTTTTGTCTTTCTTTCTTTTTTTTTCCTTGCCGTAAGAGTAAAAGAAAAGCGAATTTAATTTACTCACCCATCTGTACCTTGCTCTCATTAGTTCTATCAGGAGTGAGGTACAGCTGTAGTGTATAGGGAGTGGTTTTTGCATTGGGATTCTCCAATTTGTCAATTGCACACTAATCCACAGACAGTGAAAAATCTGATGCAAAAAATAGTTTCATATTCCTCGTGATCCCACCACCTACTCCGAGATGGATTCCCACCTCTCTTCCCAATGTTATTTCCTGCCCTAGTACACCACCATCATTCCTCCTGTTAAGCAAAACCAAATTCCTGCTTATGAGGAGTGGATTTCAGGTTTGCAGCTCCTATCCTCTGTCAATCTGACATCCTGACATTCCCAACAGCAGAGACAGCCAGAGTCTGACAGGAAGAGGGAATTCTGTAATCATGGCACGTTGCAAATTACCTCTGGGAGTTCCTGCTCAGGTATTTCCCAGCAGTAGAAGAAGTTATTCTTCAAACATAATGCTTCCCTGAAGTTTTCCAGCAGCCTTTCCATCAGTGGCCAGCTGTCAAGTTTCTACACGTATGGACATATTTCTAAGGATGACTTTAGCTTTCTGCCTACATTACTAATAGTGTTTGTTACATTGTCCATACAGAAGATAAGATACATTTAGGATAATTCAAAGTCAATTCAAAGCTTCATTCTCTATATTATTTCCAACAAACAAATACCCAAGCTGTCTGAGAAATAAAAGAGGAATAAAATCGCATACCTAACTGATTTGATTTTGTTACATATGAACAATAGAAATGGACCTTAGTTTTGAAGGCATTTACTTTTTGGCTCTTCTTACAGATTTTGTGTTCCCTTTAAAATGATCTCACTATTCCAACCAATTTTCTCTTAAAATTCACATTTTTCATAAGTAGCCCCTTGTAAAACCTAAAACTAGCATACATTTTTCCCCAAAGATGCATTTTTATAATTCAAAACACTGATCCTCCCAGTACTTCTGATGCCAACAATGACATATTGGGCTAGCGTAAGAGACCATGAATTCAAACCTCACTCGATACTAATAAAAAACATAAACACAATTATTATACTTTTATACTGTGAAAACCTGATGATTCAAAAAATAGCAGTAAAAAAAAACACAAGAAATATTCCTAAATACTCTAATTTGTTTGTAAATTATGAACAACTACTTTCATCAACCACATAAAACAATGCTTCAAAGCATCAAACTGAACTCTGTGGCTCAGGTTCTCTAAATTCAGCCATGAATTGTCCTTTGGAACTCATTTAGATACTTATTCATGAGATGGGAATAAAGTTATTCATGTGCATAAAAGTGTGCAAGATCAGGGCAAAAATATCCCTCTTCTCTCCTCTATAGAGAGACCCCTCACAGAACTATACGAATGCCGACAGTAAAAGATACTGAAACCACACTGCTGTTTATGTAAATGAAGAATATTATGTAAATACAGCTTTAGGATTCAAGTAAGTACATATGATTCCAGCAAGCCTTTCTTTGTAATTTTGTTTCATACTGATAATATTTAACAATAATTATTGCTATCAATAAATAATAATTAACACTTTCCAATGCACTTTAGGTTAAAAGTCACATAATACTACTTCTAAATATAGAAGAAAATACATTACAGCAAAAAAAAAAAAAAACACACTAATGAATATCAAAATATACCACGTACAGTTCCTTTCAGTTGTATATAATAGGTGTATCAACCCAAAAGCAGTGAACTAAATCCAGAGAGAGAGATACTTACATCACTCTGGTATTTATTGACTTCCATGGCATGTTTAATATCGGGAGGCTCCTTCATATGTGCATAATCTGAAGTTCCTTTTTCAGCATCATGCTTCTGTTTATAGAGAACCTAAAAAACACCAACAGTATACTTCAGTGAGCTCAGCAGAGCAGGTATATCATTATGAGCTGGGCTAAACCTAATGTATTCCTGTGCCTGTGTTCAGAAAAAAAAAAAAAAAAAGTAATAATAAAGCTTCTTAATGGAAGCAGAACCCTGAAACAATAGCAGCTTCTACTCAAAACAGACACATGAGGCACGGTCAGCAGAGAGACTTCTCCAAGTCTATTATTTTAAAAGAAGAGCAAGTACAAACAAGGAAGTGTACATATATAGATAGAGAAAAGCAGCCTTAAGAAACCAAAAATAAAGCCCAGAGAAAAGTGAAAGGAAAAGGAATTTTTGTCAAAATATATTTGAATCCCTTAGTAAAGTAAGCATTTTCTGAGTTTTTTTTCCTGTGTCCAGATTAAAAGAAAAAGTCTTGTGTGTTCCTTATAAATAGTTTACATGAATTACATATAGGTCAAACATCTATTTCTTGCACTGTTAAGAAATTACTAGCACAATCCACATTCTGACTCGCCCTTAGATTCACAAAGAAAAATAATATTTACATTCAAGTGACACATTGTAAAGGAAAATGGATTTGGAATGTGAGTTTATAAATAAAATTATTTTTATAATAGAAACTGGGCTGAAAGTTGGGCATTCATCCAGCTTTCGCTTTACTTGTTATACTTACATATATACTCACACAACACATATGAAAACTGCCTCAAAAAGCTGAAATTGCACTTATCCTTATCATAAGCTTTTATGCTTACATTAAGAAAATTCACCAGATTGGCTGCCTGAAGAAGCAGCAAACATCAAGAAAAATCATTTTCTAATAGCTCTCTGGAGCAAGCATTAAAATAATCCCTAAGAAAATAGCAAATACTAAAAATGATTGAAAGCTGATCAGGAGGAGGATTTCAAATTAAAACCTTAAAGAGCAGGGAAGAATATTGTGAAAATTTTGAGGCAGGATTCAGTATGGTGATTCAGCTACTTTTAGGAAAGGGTACCAAGAACTGTGAGAAAATGTCACATCTGTTTATGTTTAAGGCAGCAAGATTGCATCCAAGCTGCAGATCAGGATGCCCAAGGCAATATAGAAGTCTCTGTACTGACTAACTCAGATTACAAAATGATATATACGCTGGAAAGCTAAGAGAAAAAGTATTTTTTGCGCTGCTACTGTATGAATGCAAGTATAAGATTAGGAAACATAAAATGTGCCATCTGCTGACACAATGTAAATCCAAAATGATTAGGTCTCTGGGGAAATAAACAAAACTTCTAGTGTTGCTTCAGTTTTGTTAAAGAGTATTTGCTTTCCCCTTTGCAAAATGTGATCAAGCTTGGGAAGTCACTTTTTGTTTCATTTTTCGGTTTTGTTAGCAACACTTTCTTTAGTGGATAATCAGCTGCAAAATTGTAACTGCTTTATAAATACAAGTCTCAAAAACTGTTTTGCTGCTTTTCGTTCACACAGTCACTTTTAAGATGTCCCCCACCGAATACAATTCTGAAAAGGAGGCCTTACTTGCGAAATTGAGTAGTTCATAGGTATCTTACTATATTAACACTTTGCCTCAACATCTATATTTCTATGTTGACAAAATGGTCTGTGCACTCAAAGCATCAAAAAACAAAAGCAAATCAAATCAAAAATCAGTCAGGTTATAGGAAGTCACTTGGACAGGTATAAAGAAAAATTCCCATACTTGTAAATCAGCTCCAGTACTGGTAAGCAAACACAGAAGTGTGTTTATGGTGATTATTTCACAGTATTTTTAGACCTCTTGTTTTACACATTACCATGCTTATACATGGTACATTCGGCACTTCCCATTTCATGCTAAATTTCCAAACTATAGCTAAACTGAATTTTAATTATCAAATATACATATGCATCACAGTACTCTACAGGGATCGAGTAGCAGGGGTCACTCACATAACTTCTGCTTTGTTGTGGTCCTATTTAGTACAATTAGGACAATAATTATACAATTATTTAAGTGAGTATTATTTCATAGTGAACTGATTAGGAAGCATTATTTTTCTCTTATCTATCTTCCATACACCATTGTGTCAACACAGAGCTGTATTAAGGAAGACTTTTAGCTTAACTCTTGCTCATTCTCTGTTTTGGAATAATTTAGGATATTTTAAATGCATTTTTTATTATTTTTATATTTCCTATTCAACGGGAACTAAGCTGAACTCTCAACTTAAAATCTTTAATGTAGGATTTTGTGGAAGGAATTGTTCAAGAAAACAGAAAATGCTAGTTTAATCTCCAGACTGGGAATTAGATTATCTGACATTTAAAAAAACCAATGAAGTCCAGGATATTAGTAAGTACTTGCCATGTTAGAAAAGAAGAAACCTTGAATGTGAGATGCTATAAGAAACAAAAGCAGAATTGAGAAAGAAAAAGAATAAAAAAAAGTGAAAATGAAGAATTTCATTAATCAGTCAGAGAATATGGGAGATGTCCATAAATTATGCAACAAACCACAAAAAAAGTGCTATACAATAATAAAGAAAAATCTGAAAGTCAAAGGATTCCGTTCATAAGTAAGAAAAATCCTAAAACTTTCTCTAGAACTTTAAAAAATTACTTAAGATTCAGTTGGCTCATCTTCTTTAAGAAAGAAGACACTGTTGAGCATTGATATATAGTTACTATTTGAGATATTGCAACACTGGACAAATGAGAAAATTAAACTGCCTTCAGTTTGGTTTAGATTCTTCCTATAAGATAAGAAGAGAAACAGTGCAATCTCTTGCTATGGCAGAAATAAAGTGATAAAGCACTTTTTTCCCTCTTTTTATTTATATTATTTCCTCCCCAAGCCATTCTAAATACCATTATCATGGTTTGTGACATCTTATTAAAAAAAAAAAAGGGGAAAATGTTGAGACAGAAAAAAAGAAGGGAGAATGGCATAAAGCTAGTAACAATCCATTTTTTTCTTCAGAAATATTTTCCTCAAGAAAACTGCAATTTTTCCAGAAAATGTCCATTTTTTCTCTGGAAAATCAAAATGGGGGCTCCCTATTAGACCGCTCTTTCTACTGCACTTTTTCTGTTTGCAATGAACAATGAAATTGGTGAGATCTCTGCAGAGAGGCTGAATTGAGGGGACAGAACACTGTTTTCTGACTTATCCTGAGGACTGCCAGGATGAAAGAGTAATAGGGATAAAACCCCCACCGTTAAGAAAGCTACCATCATTTTTGCTACTCAAGGGAAAAAAGATGAAACTTATATAAGCTGCCTGAACATGTGAAGTTATATGAAGCCTCCTTTTCACTCTACTGTAATAGATTTTTCAATGTGATGATATTTTTTGATTCAAAAGTTTCATTTTTTTTGTCCACATTTTGGATGGATTTCTTTCTCTCTAGGTATTTATTTCCATTTTTAGGCCACCTCTGTTTAAGGTACAAAAGAGTAAAAATGTGGGTTTTGTTGGGTTATTGCTTTGGTTTGACTTTTTTTCTTTTTCTTTTCTTTTTCTTTTTTTTTTTTTTTAAATGAAAATCAACAAGCAGAGGAAGTCTGTCTTCTTTCCTGTCCATCTTCACAACAACATGCACCAACATGGCAAGTACAGGCAAAAAGCTCCATGGGAGGAGGAGCAGAGCCACCCAACAGGGCCTTGTGCTGTCCTTGACATGTGAAGTAATGCTGGCCATGTTCAACAGCAGAGTAGGCATCAGCTCTACTGGAGGGTATTTGCTCTGGAGAGGACAGTAAACAGATGCCATAGGTGGGAACGTATCTCCATAATCCTTTATCAGCAAAAGGAATAGGAACACGGAAAGCGCCTGTGATGGCTGGCAACAAACGCAACAGCACTAGGCCTGGCATCCACATAGCATTGGGAGGGAACCAACGGAGTCAACACGTTCTAATGGAAACAGGAAGTAGGACATGCAGGCATACTTTTTCTCCACCTTTGGAAACCAGAACCTATTTGAAGCTATTTAAAAAATCAACTCAGTATAACTGAGAAACAGGCCATAGGTTTGGGTCTCCAGCAGCATTTCTGCAAGTGTCAGGGCACTGGCTGGCCAGCACTGCACTCACTCTGCTTCCCTTTGCCAAATTGATAACCTGAAAATTTACAATCCCAGCTAGGAAGATGCACCAGAAATCCTCCTTGCCGTACCCTGACCCAGTTGAAATATTAAATCCTTATATTAGCTGTTTAGGTACCACAGTGATAGGCACACTATGGATTAGATGTGAATAGTGTAGAGAAGATTTTCCACTAGAAAATCCCCCAGGATCTCTCTGAAAGTAGCATTAAATTCAGGTCCGTTGCAACAGTAACCACAAGTTGGAAAGATGTGTCAGCATATCTTTATGTTTTCTGGTACATTATGATTTATAATGCATCTATTCCTGAGAGGACGGTATGAATTTTACAGGAAGTGCTTCTGCTTTACTGTAACTCCTCATATATGTATATTTATTTCTTCATGACTGTTGGATGAGTAAACAAAACCTTCAAAAATATGAAATGAAATGCCAGTCTTTTCCTTCTGAGGTTTTTTTTTTTTTTTTTTTTGACTCAAGTGCATTGATTTTTAATCTCAGTTCATTATCTTTTCTGCCACATCACCAGCGTTAATTAACCTCATTTGCGTAAACTAATGTGGAACGTACTCATTTGGAATAAATCCAGAAGTAAATCCTGTGGAAAACTAGTTAACTAATGTTTTATAAATCAAGCCAACTGTTTTAAAATGTTATACAAGTTTAATTTGCAATTTATTTCTATTGTAATTCCTGTAATCACTCACTTTACAATGAAATGTCTCATTAATGTCATTTCAGCTATTTCATCACTTTGAGTGTATATTATTCCACTCCAACCTATAAAGAGTAATATACAAAATATAATATTTTGTATTATTATATTTGCTTATTACAGTCTTGATTAGCTATAAATCAAAGCATATTTCTACAAACAGTCTCTAGAACTCCGTGCTTTCTTTTATTCTAAGTATTTTTCCCTGTTTGGGAAATAAAATTGCTGCATTATTGGAATAAATAGTGGGATAGAATCCATAATATAGCTTTAGGAATATGCTTATTTCACTAATTTGCAGTATTAAGCTAAAAGTTACTAACACATTTGAGAGAAGTAAAGAGAAGAACAAGAGGCTGTTTTCCCAAAGCCTCTCATCAGCTGTAATTGTAATGAGTAACAATGAAAATTTACAATTTCATGCATATTTAATACAATTTCTTTGAAATCAATGGAACCTGGGATTCTACATTATGGTTACTATTTCTAAGCCTACAGAAACAGCTACAATTTACTATGTTACTGGCAGTTAGCATGTTTTGTACTATATTCAATATATTTGAATTTATGCTTGAAATTCTCTAAATTTTGTTGTGATTGACTGGTCCTATGTGGATTATTAATGACATAAAACATATTTTTACTGTTACCTGTGAGCAGCTGTAACAGTTCTTAACAGTGTTCTTTTTCACTTTGCTTAAGTTTTAAAAATCTATTATGTCACCTAACTTGAAACGGTTGCAGTTTAAGATTTCTCTCCCCTAAGCACAATGCAACATCATGGTATTAAGTAATTGCATGCATGGTTTTTGTTGGACTGATGAACAGACTGCCTGTTTTTAAATTTGTATTTAACAAACATAATGAGTTGGATCCTCAATATTTTAACTGTGAGTTCTTGACATTATTCTGATGTGCTGATAAACCCCACCTAAGTAACTGACCCAAATCAATGAGGCAGGCAATCAAGTAGTCATTCAAAAGTACTTTTTAGATTGGTAATATTCAGTCATGCAATTAATACCACAATAGTCTTTTTGTTTTAAAATGGCACCTTGCTCTGTAGCTGGGTTAATTCTTTTGCAAATACACTGTCAATTGTGGCTGGCATCTGCTGATACAGTGAGTTGGAAAGATTTTTCTTAGCAGCCCCTTTGTACTTCACCTACAGAAGAGAAAAAGATGACATGTAATGCAAATGAAGCAAAATAGTCATAATACATACTGTTTTTTTATGATAAATAAAATGACATAAAGACTAGCAGAACTGGGAAAGATCTATTACTGTCTTCTAAACTATCAAGCAAAAATAGATCTATAAATAATAACTTGAAAATAATTTAGATGCATGGTGTCTAATTAACAAAACTACATGAAGTATCAGTTAATTCAAGGATTTGGAATAAAGTATTATATAAGATGAGAAAGGCAGATATTGTTTATTATATCATTTCCAGACAACTTTTGTTCTGTTTTTCAAAGTTTTGCACAACGGGAGCAAGGAGAAACCTGTACTGAAATATTTTATCGATTAGTATGTAATAGCATTAAAATTTAACTGGAAAAGGCATGAACATTGAAGCTGGCATTTTAGTTATCATTTCTACCTTATCTATTCAAGTTACATATTCATTTTTATATCCCCTTTTATTTCTCCTGTGCTTTCTCCAATGCTCAATACTAGCAATTCCTAAGGGTCTTGTGACAGACTAGAATAAGAGTTCTAAATGTGAGGGTTTTTTCCTCCAGATCAAAGTTTTTAAAAGTCAAAACCAACAATAATATGAGGGATTAGTTTGCAAGTAATCATAAATACCAAAGAATACCTGAAATTATGCTGTCTAAATTCATTAACTTACTGTATTATTGCTAGTACAGTAATAGTACTATTATTAGTACTTACTATTATTAGAGATTAATTCTATATATCAATAATTTGCTATAGAATATATTGATGTTCTCCTGAATAGAGGGCTCCTTTTCATGTCAGTAAACATGCTACCAAGAGACAATTTTGGAAGTACTCAAGTTTCACCAAAACTGGCTATGGGACACTAGAGGTCAGTAATTTACCAGAGAAGCCATCCATCACATTATTTGGTTTAGGTAATGAGTCTAGCCACAAAGCATACAAAAGTTGGTTAATACGAAAGATAGCTTATTTTATAAAGGGCGTAATACCCTTCTACCTGTAAATCGGATTCATTTAATGATTAGCAGCTTTTCTTTGATATATAAAAAAGGATTCTATAGATTTGATCACTATATTGTATTTTTATAAATTATACTATAGCATCTTTTTGTCTTATATAAGCAATTTGGAAGTTATTTTGTCTCAAAAATATGAAGATAAATAGCACAAAAATATCAGATGCATTTATATTGGATGTAGGTGTACAGCAAGCAAATATCATGAACAGATATATCATAGACAATAAATAGAATGTATATAACCTACATAACGCCAGCTAGGCATATTGGAATGTCCTTCACCAAAAAAAAAAAAAAAAAAGGCAGCAGGAAATTAAGCTTTCCAAGGATCATGAGGACAGAAGAATCACTCAGAACCAACAACTCCTCAACAAAAGCAATTGTCTGTCAGTTAAAACTCCTAATGTTTTTCTCAGCTATTAAAATAATAAAAGATGCAACCTGATGACACCTTATACCCGAGACATGAAGAGCTGGTGGTAAATTGTGCTCTGTTAGATGCCAATTCTGCCACTGCAGTAATACACATGCACAAAGGGCTTAAAAACACACCCAAAACACATAGATGCACAGGCAGTTATGCACATGGAGAGGGCATTTACCCGGTCCCTTCCCCAGCTCCCTCACTGATGGCCAAAGTGATCAATGTTCCTTCTTTTCTCCTGCTTTGTAGTAAGGCTATGAATGCTCCACAGCAGGGCAACTACACACAGGTCTAAGTTGCATACCTTGTCATTCCTGACTAACTAACAAGAAATTCTTTTGCTCTAAGCTTATCCATCTTAAAATGGGACAGCCATTTCTTCTCAGAACTGTCCATATCATATAACCCTCAAAAAAAAGTGTTATACCACTCTAAGTTATTAATTAGTATTAAGTCATTAGTTCATGCTGTATGTGTGAGTAATACAGTTCTCTAACTCATTTAATTCTTAAACTGAATTGTTTTGTATAATAAACCCTCCTTCCCCTGAAAAACACCCATCTTCAACTCAAAGAGTTTTGAGGAGGAGTAAGTAGCAAAAGAAAATTCTGCAGTCTTTTGGGTCTTACCTCAGAAAGAAAAGCACCAAGACTTTTCACATGTTTTAGCTGAGGGGTGTCAGGTACAAATATGCACTTGCCCTTAGATTTTTCAAACTCTTCCTTATAGTGTATCTACAAAGAGGAGAAAAAAGACGTTTAATTGTTTTTAAAAATAGAAAAGCACACAAAGACTAGCTTTATTAGACCTCTTCTAGTCATTCTGACTGGATGCTAAAACTCATTGTACTATGCTGGGTGGCTTGCAAATACCACAGGCTGAATCAAATTAAGCCACATAGAGAACACACAGTTTTTACACAGGGTATCAAGACTATGTGAAAATCACAAAACTCTTTGATATTAAGATGAAAAAGAAAGATTTCTCCTCTATACCTACAGCACATTTTTGTCACTTTTCAGAGATGTTCCAGTATCGCTAAAGAAAGGAGAATTGAAGAAAGCATTTTCACCTTGATCTCAAAGATAAAACTGTTAAACCAGCTTCTAACCCCAACACTGCAAGCCTAGATTCTGTATTTTACTATAGCATAATAAAACGTAAGAGTTACATGGATAAATTTACAAGGTCACTGGCTACAAAGCACCCAGGTAGCTGCGACATGCGGGTCCGTCAGAGTCCCTTTAAAAGGGAGCAAATTTTAAACTGAGCCATTTCAAGTCCTGTCTGTGCACAACAGAAAATCAAGTCTTATTCTTTTTAAAAACAGTACAAAGCCCCAAGCTTTTCATTGCTCAGTGTCAAACTTCTAGCAGTATGCAACTCTAGTAAGGAGCTACCTAAAAATAATCACATGAGTGTTGATAAAATTTTATATTAGTAGGACTGTCAAAATGTTTTAAAGGTACTCCCAATAAGCAGTCTTAATGTTTTTTACTCACATTTCTTTCTTTGTACACAGTACAGTTTAGTTCAGTGAAAATTTATTTAAGATTAAACTTTCCTGGTTGTTATCTGCTACATTTTCTCTAACCTCATTTTCATATTATATCCACTGAAGACTTGCTGACAAGCGCTGACAAAAGCAATATGATCTGCATCTGAGCATTACCAAAATATGCAGTCTTCATTTTCCTTCTCTGAAACCTTAATGAACATCACCAGCTCTACTCTCCATTACTCAAAAGCGATTTGAAAAATTCATCAGAAAGATGTCAGCTTATGCAGAATTACTGCTTGGCTTTTCTGATGTAAACTTTTTATCCACCGCAAAACGTATTAGATAAAGCCAAGTTCTTTTCAAATGGGCGACTATATAACCATCTCACAGGACAAACTTTACTGACCTCATCCCAGTTCGGGCTACTGAAGGAGAATTTTATTACCAAACCATATTGCCTCCCTTCAGGGCCTACACTGTATTTATTATATAGAAAAAAAAAAAAAATAACACACACTTTTTCTGGAACACAGGGTACAAAATTACAGAATGTCACCACTTTGCCCAGGGCCTCAGCAATCCAATGGCCCATGTAACCTGTTTGCGCAATGCTGTACCCTTAGGTAATCACAAAGTAATATATGACAATAGAAGTTTCAAATTGTATTTTTTTTCCATCAATGGATTTTATATGGCAAAACTTAACTTTTTATTATAAAGTCATTGAACCTGCAGGCTGTGGCTCACTATGGAAACTCACCTTGCTCACAGCCTGCTCCATGAGTCTCTCCTGCAAGTGAATCTTCGGAGCAGGCTAAGGGAATTACCATGGTTCAACAGCCTAATCAGAGCTGTTCCCTTGTATCAAGGTATTAATCGAATTTAAATACAGTTCTACTGGAAAACCTCCTTCTAGTATTTTGACATCACTGTGTCAACTATTATGACAATCATCATGCCAAGATGCATTAGAGAACTGTTCTCTCTCAAAGATCCATTCAAACTTAGGAAAGTCCCAAAAATGCAATAGCAAGTTTTAGCTAGCTCTTATGCCAGACCACGATGGATGTTTTTTTCCCCACTATAGATTCCCTTTGCAACCTCCACACTTCTTTACTTATAATGATTCATAAGTCTGGAAGACCACAGATCCATCTAATACAAAACCCTCTCTCTGTGGCCTGCAGAAGTCTCGACAGAATTGCATGATCAGAGCAAGTATGCAGGATAATTGCCCCAGGGTATTTTCCCAGGCTCCACTGATTTGGACCTCAAAATCCTCCTGAGCCAGAGTCTGTGATTCATAACCGTCAGCCCAGAGGAGGAGCTCCTTCCTGAAGCAGCCAGCAGCCTGTTAGACCAGTGGTAAGGCACTCCATTTCTATACTTAACAATGTGACTCTGTAGCCCCTGCTTTACAACAAAGAAGCCACAAAATTATTGTGTGACAAATGAAGAATAAGACTTGACGCTGAGGTGAGCAGACATAGTTGGGCTTCAAACAAGGACAGTTAGATCCTAAGTGGTGCAATTTTTTTGCTAACGGTGAAAAGAAACATTGATACCATGCAGAACTAAAATACAGTAGCATCTTCACCTGGCACAGTGTCGCCTTCTCCACAAAAAAAAAGGATTATGATAATTTGATTAATGATCATTTTATTTGTACAACAACTCCACTCTCTGTTTATAATAGTATCTATAATGTCACACTGTATAATCAAAACAAAGGAAAGAAAGAGGTAATAAAACAGAATTCATTCAAAGGGACAGGCTCAATTTCAATACAGAAGAGAAAAGGCCCAGATTGGAAGGTAACTCATATAAACCCAATACACATGACAGCTTGGAAAAAAATCTTTGAAATGAAATTGTTTAATGGAGGAAGATTAAAAAATGGCTCTGGGGAAGGAAAATTCAGGGGGGTATCACAGCCACAGAACAAACATCTACCTACCTCAAATACAAATGGAGGAAATAGAGGATTTCCTCAGCAAAAGGAACACATACACACTTCACAACCTCCCTCTAAGCACAGCTCAAGTCTGACAGTTACACATGCACTAAGGACTGTTATCACAAATGTTTTTTGAAATAATATTGTCAATTCAAAGTCAGACTCCAAAGGATGCTGGGTGAGAACCATGCCATCGTAGTATCTTTAGCCCAGAGCACTCATGCCTCTGCATTCTGACAGAAAGGCTGTGCTGACAGCTCTGCATGCAGAGAAGGACAAACACCTTGTCTTGGAGCCAGCAAGGACACAGACCATTGCCACAAGGTCATATTAGGGTAAAACTGGAAAACTCATAATCATTGTACGCATTAAACAGACAGATATGCACTAGTAATGCATCTACACAAACAGAAAGCAGTGAGGGCAAAGACTCCTGCAAGAAAGCATACAGGAAATCAAAAAACTTCCAAACATGGATGAGCCAGAAATTCAAAAGCAAGTATGCAAAAACTTTGCAGCTTACTGACCTCCACAATTTACAAAAAGTGCAGGGAGAGGAAACAGACAGTCGTAAGAAATTCCAAGTATAGAAAAAGAAAAAAATCTGGGAGACAAAAATAATTAAAAAAAAAAAAAAGAATAAATCAATCCCTGAACCATACTCATATCTTATTAGCACCAATGGAAAAAAAACCAACTACTGATTACAGTGGATGCTGGATAAGTCCCCAAAATGGGTCCCATTTTACAACACAGAGAGTCTTCTTTGAAATTAAATTGGTTCTGGACCATTACACATTACTACTGCATTGAAAGCGTTAATGACACTATGCCATTATGCTTTCATATCTCAGTGAAAAATCTGACACACTTGCAGGCTAAAGGCATCCACAAGCTTCCAGTAAAATCCCCTATCTCTGCACCATTATAGGCTTCAGGAACCTGGTTTAACTTATTCACCTTAGCCCCAAGCCTCTGCAGAAAATCAGAGAAAATATAGCCGCTCCATTTATCAGTTAATTAATAACACACCTAACATTACTCCTAATGGGTATACAGCCCTGTAACAGTTCCTTTTCAAATAAAGGAAATATTTCTTCAGCGTTTTTCAGGGTGTTTTTGCCTCTGCAGCAATCATGTTTATAAACAAATTGAATGGAAGCAGTAAATATATTTCAAGTCAGGCTAGCATTCCATTTTCATTTTGGCCTTTACTTAAATTGTCAGGCTGTTACTGTGTCACATGCCATTTATATCCCAAACAAAGAATGCAGATATTAATATTTTTAATGATGGCTAACTTGTGCACTTCCTAAAATAGCTTGAGATTATGAGGGAGCCATCTTGGTAGCTTCTCACAAGGGTCTATCCAATTTTCAGCAGTCATCCCATGAAGATAAAAGTACAACAAGATGGCCCACGGACAAAGAGGAAGCTTTGACCTTGTCAAGTCACACTTTCAGTCCAGCACTGTAATGCCTAAGCATCCCAGATACTGTAATTCTGGCACTTATCTTTGCCTTTCTATGCCTTATTAATGAATTTGTACCCTACATGTAGATTCTGTATGTGTTATTCTCACAAAAAACATACTCATTCATCTTAAACAGTAATACCCTGAATGTAAATATCATATTACAACACAACTTGAAGCAGTTCTCACTTTTCAGTTTCTCTTGAGAAAAAAAAAAAAAAAAAAAAAAAAGCTAATTAATGCAAGTCACCCTCTCCTCAGCAAGGTCTTCTTAGCTACAAGTTTCCATCCTCAACAGGCTGTGAAGGAAAATTGCCAGTCTAATTCCAATTTAGGCGACAAAGCTACTTTTCAGGAACATGCTTCCAGAAGAACATGGAAATAAACATCCATCAAGCTAAATTTGATGTTGTTGCATTGAAGCAATTGGATCTCCTCCAGTTTAAACATCTCAGACCTGGTCTGAGATGTTTAAATAGCATTTAGACTTGATTTGCAACTCTAAAAGCTATATAAATTATTGAATTCGATTACCCCTATTTTAGAGATATCTTCACATTGCAATGAATTTTTCTGACTAGTCCAAGAAGAGTATGCTGAGCAGTTTTGAACTTCTATCACCATAGCACTTTAACTTCATCCATAAACAGAATGACAAATACTAATCTGAGTTCATCTATTTGATTTTGATCTTCCCTCCTTACAGCTATGCACACTGGTGCCTAGTTCTGTTTTAGCCAATAGAACTCATACAAAAAGGCTATGACTAAGCATTTTCCTTGCTAAATCAGCAAAAAAAATTCTCATGGGAGACACCCTCTCATTTTTAGAGCAGACCCACTGCACCAGTGTCATCCTGTGGGACTGGCATTTCAGAATCCCCTTCTTCCCAGGGCCTGTAAGCACCAGTGCTTCACACTGTCCTAGTTCCTGGAGAAGCTTATGCGCTAAGGTTGATGACTTCAGAAGTGGGCAGCACTCCTCTTTACTTTGCTTTGCTCTTCATTTGGCACACACAGCATTGTACATGTCTGAATAAATATATATATATGGCAAATGTATACACATGGTAAACATAGGCACTGAAAAAAAAATGCAAATGTGAGGGTGCAGTCACTATCACTTACATCACTTATTATTTCAGTGCATTTTCGGGCCAGTTCTAAATTTCTGTCCTCAATAACAGGCTTGAGGAAGACCTATAAAAGAGAGATAATAATTCCAGAGTTATTCTTCTAAAAGAGCAAGAAGAAAGAGAAATAACTATTTTTCAAAGCTATAGCTTTTTCACTCACCTTTTCTTCTTCCTCTCCCTCCTCATTTTCATCCTCCCTGAAATCCTGAATAACAGATAATCGCATTTTAATAGTTAAGAGAAAACAAGAATAAAAGCTCTAAAAGATTCAGTGCTGCAGGAAACAGCCTAGACTCTACAGCGCTCCTGGAATCAGTGCTTCGTTTGTGTCCTCCACTGTACTTAACTTCACCAAGGCTTCTTCCTTATTTAGGCAGCACTTGACAGTCTTTATCTGAACAATTCAGTGTGAGTGAACTGAAAGGCATTGCAGATGGCCTTGCTAGCTGTCAGTCTCAACAGAACTAAGGTTTCTTACTGATAAAAGAAAAAAAAATTAAATGACCTATCCCTGTCAACTATTTTTAAAAAGTCTAAGAACATATTTGATTAAAATACTGCAATTCAGTAAATTCATAACATAAATAATTCACAGTCTTTAAAAAAGAAACATAGATTCTGAGGCTATGGGAAAACTACTCAGTTCTAAGACTTAAGACATTGCAGATTCCAAAACTAGTTATCACAAAACTTTATTTAGCTGGTCCAATGATAGAACTTTTTAATTTAAAAAAGCAACACTCCTACAGTTTTCCAGTAGATAGAAATTTTAGCATATTTTTCAGAAAATACATTTTTCCCATGAAAGATATAAAATTCCTTAAATGCACTGCATATTAGATTAGCTGAAGTAGAAATCTATGCATCCACACACACATATGCATATCCTTAAAAATAAATCTTTACTCACATATGTATTTTCATTCACCAACAACAATGTTATGAACTTGTAGACTCGAAATTCATCTTTTTCCGCATGAAGTCATTCATTCCAGCTGCAATGAAACTGAAATATCTTTTTGCCAAGGGATATAGTGTCTCAATGTTTGCTTCTGTAAAACAAGCAAGTACGTACTATTATAGAACCAGTTGGATTAATCAGCATTTCAATATGATTTTTCTTTCCTAATTGTAGCATGTATAATTCTCGTTTTATAGAAGTCATGATTTTAAATTTCATCAAGCAGAGTAATTCATCGCTATAGAGATTTTTCCTGACTGCAAATCTCTAGAGCAGTAGATTTCCTTTTGTAGCCTGTATCTATGAGGAAGATAAGGAATGTGTAGTCTTAAGAAAAAGCTCTTTAATGACTATTAAGTACTTCTGCCCAAACAAAATGTCCCTAGAGCTCTTTCAAAAACATACATTTCTTTTGTATTTTTCCCTTTTTGAAGAGTTACTTTTCAATTCTGTGATATAAAGAAAAGTCTGAAAATTTGAAAAAGATTTTAAGAAAAATAGCATGAACATACCATAATAATCAGGAAACAATTCATTGCACATTCATAGTAGAGAAAGTGTCCTGGCTTTTTATACTACTGTTTCAAACATAAGCCCCAAAAGTCCAGTTTCTATAGGCATTGCTGATGTTCAGGTTGAAACTTGGAAGTCTGGTTTCAGGTGAGGATTAAGTATAATTTACACTGACTACTTGTGGAGATTAAGATGTCGTACCCTTGTTTAGTCTTTTAAGTTGGGTACTCATAACAGCAGGTCATTTCTGAAGACTATGACTACAGCAAATGAATTCCAAAGGACTCGCACATGACTTGAAGGACCACATATCAAAAATGCCACACAAAAATCTAGTACCAAGGCTTGAATTTGGGGTTTTTGTGATAATATTGCCAATCCTGTATTCTTCCAGGATGGTTTCCCTTTCCATCCTACATTTAATGCATTTAGTAAGTGGAGAGATTGAAAAATAGGTAAGAGAGTAGAAAAGAGATATTAATAGTTTCAAAAATTGATAAATAGGAGGACTTTTTTTTCCACTGAAAATCAAATACAGTCAAAATGACAGAGACAAATCTCTTCAAAATTTTTGAGCTTGTTTTGTTTTAAGGTTTTAAACAAGCTTACATTATACATGGTGGATTTTCAGTGGTCGACCATACCAATATTTAGAGTAATTGTGGTTTTCATATAAAGATTTCCTTATAATAAAAATTGCCTTTTTCCACTTTTTCCTTAGCAAAATCTTCAATTGATTTGTTAGAATTCTTTTTTCTCTTTTCTTTTCTCTCTCTCTGTTGCTAATTTTGCATCTCCTGGTCAGGCATAATTGCACGTTCAAATGCTCAAGTCGTGTTCCATATAACCTTCATAATAACCAGGAATGTATTTGCCATAAATCATGATATTAAAGAAAATTGTAATAGCAGACTCTAAGAGAAATTGTAAAATAGCACAGTACCAACTAATCATACAAACTGACTCAATATGGCAAGGTTTCTCTGTTTAGATGACACAACTGTGTCCACGCCTATCCAACTCCCTACCATGTCCTTGCTCCCTTATCAGACAGTCGCTTAAGAAATGCATTTAGGAGATGTTAGCCCAGAGAGTTGAACTGTTTTATCTCATCTTGCTCATATACACCTAGCAATTAAGCAGTTAGCACAGTTCTGTCACTGAACAAACAATTGCGTGGACATGCCTAGCATAGCCCAGAGATACTTGTGGATATTGCAAGTCTAATGAAGACTGTCAGGGCTAAAAGAGCTTCTCCACCACTACACTGAACAACAGTAACTGTGCTTTTCCTAAAAAGGATACCAGAAACGCCACAAGCTCCTCAGACTTATACAGAAGAGTTCTTCATGGGGTACCTGAGCAGAGCTTGCAAGTTAAGGACAGAGATACTTTAACAGGAAAAATCTTCAGAGCACTATAATAAGAGCTGTAGGTTGTGAACATTGCATTGCTTTGCAATGCTGGACTGAAACTCCAGTGAGAACAGAAGCAGATAGTTTTAATGCTTTAACCAGCCTGCTTTCCATGAAGTTCAAAATCAACCCACAGACTTCCTTGAAATGACCACATTAGTTTCTGTTCTCACTGGACAGATATACACATCACGGTCAATTCAACACAACACAGCTGGTGGTCTCTCTTCAGAAAGCACAGAGGAAACTGGTAAGCACTGAGATTCAATTACTTCTCATTTTGAGAAAGATTCATCTATCAGACTAGAAGTTACCAGCAATGCTGCATAAGGCAGTTCATAGTCAGGCTATCAGCATCACAATCACAAACAGAAAGAAGGCAAGGGTTGCCAGACTGCCAATTTTAATCTCCCTTGTACATGAAATATCAATTAACATTAACAAAAGAAATTCAAGAGATGGTTCTATTTATAGGAAAAGCTTAACAGTAAGCTTGAATATGACAGATCATGAGCAAATCATAAAACATTTATCAACAGCACTTCAAAACTTGCAAATATTCTACCTTATGCTTATAAGTTACAATTTTTCAATCAATGAAAATTCTTTCATAAAGATTTGGGTTTAAATTAATGAGTTGGAATAGTATTTTAAAGAGGCAAATGAGATGCTAGGACACTAATGTGCAAATCCCAGAAAATCTAACAGATTTCTAATGTCATATATACCACAAATACAGACTTATTCTAACCCAGTGAAAGCTTACTGAGAAGACTGCCTAAGCTAATAAACTCTTTCCTACACACGTATTAAAGTAGATCATGATAATGCATTCAGAAGTGGGAGTATTTCTCATGGCAAAAGATTGTGCCATGCAGATGTTACCTTAGCTGTAGCCAGTAATGATATAATGAAATAGGCCAACATAAAGCTTTCCGCATGGTAAAGTGTGCAAGTATGTTCAAAAAAAAAAAAAAAAAAAAGATGGTTTCATTTGCCTGATGATATCCATAACCTCCTGCTATGATATTTTATAAACAGGTTATATAGTTTCACTTATTTCTCTTAATTATTCATCTGCCAAGAAATTAAATCCTATACAATACAGGACATTTGATTCCTTCCTTCCTCCCCTGCTCCCAAGTTTAACAGAAAACTGAAAAATCTGCTTCGTGCCTATTATAATGCTTCACAATCGCAGTCTTACAGCTGTATTCACAAATTCACGCATCTGGAGCTCAGACTAGAATCACTCTCATCTAACTACACTGCTCCTCTTCAACCAACAGTACATAATGTAGCTTTGGCCTTTTTTGCCCAGTGTCATAAAATCCATTTTACTTGAGTCAAGTGACCAAGCAGGTTGGAAAGTCCACCAGAGTTAATGGTTTTGGACATGCCTGTTCAGGCTTTTGAGCGCTCAGGAGGTCTTAAAAATGAACAGCCAAGATAACTATTCCAATTACCCACGCAGCTGGAGCTCTCATTGCCATCAAAGAAGTTTGGGTTAACAGATTTCAAACATCTACACAGTGGTAGTCACCTACAGTTGGTGGAGAGCAGTACACGCTTGAGGTGTCTCCCTCCACACCTCATGGCTTGATTTCATCCTCCTAAAAGTCTGCCTTTAGCAGCTTATTCCATGAAAACAGGAGGCAACTGCATTGATAAAAATGAAATTATCAGCTGACTGGATTACTCTGAGAGCTCCATGAAAGTTAAATCTCATTCAGCAGAAGAAGGTTTGAACTGGAAATTTAAGACTGTTCTCTTAGGATATCTAAACATTCTTTTTTCCATTTTAAGGTAATATATGTATGTATGAATACAGTAGTGACAAACAAGTTTTATTTTGCATCCGTAAACCTCCCAAAGTTAAAGATATTCTCGGGTTTTTTTCTTCCTGTGATTACATATCAAAATACAGCCTGAGGTAATTTGACACATTAGAAACACACATATGACTTATATGGAGACTCACTTGCTTCATTATATATAATTTTTTTCTTAGCTGTATAGCCTGGGCATGTATTCTTACGAGAAATTTTTCTTGGGGCATTATTTAGAATTCAGCTGCCTGAATTGATAGAATGTAATGGAGCAGGAAGAGAAAATTAGATATTCCTTATAAACTTAATTTCACTTTTAATGTGTTCCACCAGGCTATAACCCTCACTTAGTCATTTAACAGCATCGAGAAATGCTTTCCTTCTAGAAATTAAACCCAAACACAAATACAATAAATTGTTATAAGTGGACTTTTTTTTTTGCACACTTCCTGAGTTTTGAAAGACCTAATACTGTACTTCTGTTAGACTTTCTCTGAAAAGAACAAAACAAGAAGTAATACACACCTTTAAAAATATTTTTAAATGTTCTGAAACATTTCATGTTATTATAGTTCTCAAGCAAGTTCAATTTTATATCAAACACC